ATCTGGAAGAGGAAGAGTTCACTAGAGGAAGGAGGAGAAGAGGGTTTTAAGCAGAACAGCATGTGCAAAGGCCCTAGGGTAGAAAGGTGCCTGGTAGAGATGAAGAACTAGAAATGGCCTGTGTGGCTAGAGTGGAGGGGCAAATGGGAGGAAGCAGAGGTCAGACCATACAGGGCCTTGTATGCTTTACTAAAGACTTTGGTCTTTAACCTGAGAGCAATGGGAAGCCACTTAAAGTTTTAAAGCAAAACCAAGTGTAGGGGCGCCTGGGTGGCTCAGTTGGTTAAGCGACTGCCTTCGGCTCAGGTCATGATCCTGGAGTCCCGGGATCGAGTCCCGCATCGGGCTCCCTGCTCGGCAGGGAGTCTGCTTCTCCCTCTGACCCTCCCCCTCTCATGCTCTCTCTCTCTCTCATTCTCGGTCTCAAATAAATAAATAAAATCTTTAAAAAAAAAAAAAAAAGCAAAACCAAGTGTAATATGATTAGATTTGGGTTTCAAAAGATCTCATAAGTGACAGTATAGGAATATATTCGATTGAAGTATAGCTAGACCAGTCTGGAGCTACTGCAGTTGTCCAGGTGAGAAAGAATGGCAGTTTGGAACAGGGTGCTGGCAGTGAAGACAGACAGATTTGGGACATATTTAGAAGGTCAGCATTTCAAGATTTGGTGATGACTGTCTACGGGGGTAAGGGAGGACAAGTTGTTAAGAACGCCTCCTCAGTGTTTTGGACTTGCGCAACCGGATGGTGTCATTCACTTAGGGAACATCAGCAGAGGAATAGGTTGGTTTTTTTTTTTTTTTTTTAGGAGGGAGGGGAGAAGCTCATGAATTCCATTTTGGACACGTTGAGTTGGAATATATAAACTCCATGAAGACACGGGTCTTTCTCGTTCACTGGTATCTTGCACAATGCTTGATACACAGCGGGCATGCCACAAATATTTGTGAAAGTACATATGTGCATACAATTGGAGTGAGAACTTGGAACTTCTTCTACATGGCATGGTTAATTTTATGTGTCAACTTGGTTGGGCTATGGTGCCCAATTGTTTGGTCAAACGCTAGTCTAGATATTGCTGTGAAGGTATTTTGTAAATGTGATTTACAACCAGTTGACTTTAAGTAAAGATTAGCTTGGATAGGGCGCCTGGGTGGCTCAGTCGTTAAGCGTCTGCCTTCGGCTCAGGTCATGATCCCGGGGTCCTGGGATCGAGCCCCGCATCGGGCTCCCTGCTCAGTAGGAAGCCTGCTTCTCCCTCTCCCGCTCCCCCTGCTTGTGTTCCCTCTCTCACTGTATCTCTCACTGTCAAATAAATAAAATCTTTAAAAAAAAAAAAAAAAGATTAGCTTGGATAATGTAGGCATAGAAGTCCTGCTTGAGTTTCCAGCCTCCTGGTCTGCCCGACATATTTTGGACTTGTTAGCCCTCACAATTCTGTGAGCCAATTCCTTAAAATAGGTTTCTCTCTTTCTCTCCCTCTCTCTCCATATATACATGTATATTATTGGTTCTGTTTCTCTGGAGAACCCTGCCTGATACAGTGTGAAATAAAGTGGGAAACAAAGTAATATGCGATCAGAAGTCAGTTTTTCAGTCTTTGCAATGTGACCTTGGGCATTTCCATGAACTTCTAAGGCCTAATTATTCTTGTCAGAGACGATAATAACATCTAATGATGTCATGGGTAGGAAGGAGGATTGCAATCTGCAAAATATTATTACATTCTTGGTTTAAGGCTGCCTTCCAGAAAGTTAGAGATGTTGCAAGTCTAACCTCCAGTCAAAATTGGTTTCAGTATAACCAAGAAAAAAAAAATACTCCCTGAATCATTATGATGATCTATATGTAGTCTTTATATTCATTTTTCACCTAACCTTGGACATGTACTTGTAACAGCAATAAAATGCATTCAGTGGTATTTTATCTTTTACCTCTGACAATAGATTCAATCTCTTTCATGGCAGCTTCACTTTGAGCTTCTGCAAGTTTTTCATTGATTTCCATTATTTCCATGAGGAATTGCCTGTCCATTTCATCATCTGTCCCTTCAGGAATCTCTAATCCATGGAGCTTTAGCTATTGGGACATAAAGCAGAAAAAAGTAAGGTTGGTTGAAGAGACTGTGGCCAGAGTAATAAATCCTACTCATAGAACAGAATACGATTCATAAACAAAAAAACAAACAAAAAAACCTTGAACTTTTTTTTTTTTTTTAACCTTGAACTGTCTTAATAGTGAAAATGTGAAGGTAGGGTATGGGAAAGTTGGACAGAGACAGGAGTGCTGGGACAGGATTCCTCTCTGCTACCTGGAACTGTGTTACCCTAGGGGAGTTGTTCCTCCACTTGGGAGACTGAACTAGATATTTGTAAAGGCTCTATTAAATCCTAAAATTCTAAGGTGCTAAACTCTTCCCTCCCCCACCAAAAAACCCCCAAAATACTCTTTCCTAAATGCTACCAAATGGTAAAAAAATAATGCACTCGGGCAAGTAAGATTTACAAATACTCAGAGAAAACTATTCTCATGCAGTATCATTGAGGCTAATTATCTTTGGGTCCCTAGACTAGCTCAGGTCTCAAGCACTCTTCTGCTGAATGCAGGGGAGCAGCTGTCCCACAGCCCAATGGATAGCATGTAGTCACGCATAGAGGGTTGGGAAATCACCTTACTAGGTATAGTCCCCTGCTCAGGGGAGCCAGAAGGGTCTTATAGGCATCATTCACCAGGGTTGAATGCTTCTCTGAGAAGTCCTTTTCAGTCTGTTAGTAGAGATGAAGATAATCTCATTACCATCCAAATCAGCCACATTACATTCACAAACTGTTTCATAAAATACTGATGGGCAGACAACTAAGGAAGTCTCCCAAGTAGAAGTGGTGTGGGATGAGATGTCTTTATTTTCAACTAATGTATTCTAATTCTTCTGGGAAGTCAGGTAAAAGCTGTGAGTGCAGGGCAGGTTCAGGGTCTGCCAACTGGGGTCAGGCTGCCCCAGGGTGGAGCTGGTTGTTTAGCTCTATCTCTGATAATCACATCACCACAAGGCCACTGCCACCCACCCCATGTACACTAGCGTTTGGGTATGATTGGGGTGGCCAACAGGCTACCTGAGACCTCTGGCTGAAGAAATCAGGGTGGACAAGACGCTGTAGTTCCTGGTACCTAGTCTGGAGCTTTGCTGTGTCAACTCTGAAGGCACGGTTGCTGTAAGGAAATTGGGAGATAAAATTCATGCACCAAATATTTATAGATTTGTATACTATGGGCCTGGTTCCTGTTCTCATGGGGGTAAATGCAATATACACGTAGAGAGAGATAACTTCAAAAAGTGCTGTGAAGGAAAAGAGAACAGGGTCAGAGAAAGTGGTACATGTGGTGGACAAAGAGATGACATTTGAGCTGAGACCTGAATGATGATGAAAAATAATCAAAGATCAGAGAGAAAAGTCACCAAGAGGCAGAGGGAACATGCAAAGTCCCTGAGGTGCAAGCAAGTTTGGCATGCTTTCAGAACTTAAAGGATAGTGTCACAGCAGCACATCCTAAGTGCAGAGTGACTGGTAGGGGCCCATCCCAGAGTTAAGGGGAAGGACCATTCCTGAATCCCATTCTATCTTTCGAAGTCCCAGGTCCTTTCATCTTTGTCTTTCACTTTATTTTAACCCAGTTCCTTTCACTTTACGTTCCCGGAGCGTGCCCTGTCTTAACAGTTTAGCTCTGCCCAAATTTCATCACCTCTCCAAGCTCCACGTTCGGAGGGAAACAGGAAAAACAACCACTTTTCTGACTCTTTCCCTCCAGTTCTTATTTCTCCCTTAGACTCAGACCACAATATTAAGTTTTCCGGTGCTTTTACACCCTATTTTGTTTTTCTTTCTAGATTTATTTTATTATAAAAGGATGTAACTCAGGAACAACCACATGGAAAACAAGCATGAGGGAAAGGGCCGGGGAGCTTCCAAGCCCTCTCCAGGGGCACTACTCTCCCATCTCCACGTGTTCACAAACCGGGAAGCTCCTTCACTCCCTTATTTTGGATAATACCTCAGTACGCCTTTCTTAAAAGTCTCAATCCAACTTTAACCATTCTGACCCTATCCGTCTGCAGCGCCTAGCTGCTAAAATTGGGCCAATTTCGAGTTGGGCCAAAATCGAGTCTTTCTGCAGCCGCTCCAGTACACTTCCCTCAGGCCCCGCCCCTCAGGTCTCCCTCTACAGAAGCCTCCCGCCTTCAATTTCCCCTAAGTTCCTTCCCCGCCCCTCCAGTCCCTCCACCCTTCTCGTCTTCATTCCTCAGAGGCCCTATCTTCAGGTTCACCCCTCAATTTCCTCTCTCACTGGCCGCAATCCCACCCTCCGTGCTCCCAGGCCCCGCCCCTATTTCTCTACGGCTCCGCCCACCGATCTAACCGGCCCGCCTTCTCCTTCCCAAGCACTAGCGGCCCTACCGCCTGGCTCCTGAGCCTCTGACGTCTCTCTCGCCCCCGCGTGTTTCCCGAAATGGCCTCCCGTACCAGTCCATGAGGCTGAAGTAATCTCGAGTGGGGTCAGGTGGCTGCAGCGCGCGGCACTGTGGGCAGAAGAACCCATGCTCCCGCATGGGGCCCCCTGGGCCGCCGCAGTTCCAACACTGGGGCGAATTCCTTCCCGCCAGAGACGCAGCATTACAGCTTAGCGGTCTCCTTCCGAGGACCCCTGCCGGCCACAGCCCCGACACCCGGAGCAAGGCGCCAGTTCTCCCGCCCCACATCTGGCCGCGGCCTATGTCGCCGCGGTAACCTGTCGGGGGGGAAACCCGGAGAGAGCGGCCGACCAGACTACTGCTGCTGATTGGCTGGAGAGCTGACCCGGCGGGATCCTGGATTCTGAGTGTCCCGCTCCTCATTTTAAACTACAACTCCCAGCAAACATTGAGGCTACGTGTGGACGGCCACATCCGCCGCTCTTCATTGGTCCGGCGGCGACGCAGGGGTGTTTTAATTGGCTGAGGGTGGAGTTTGTATGTGCTTGGTTAGCGCCACTCCGTTGGCTGCGACTGCTGTGAGTGTTTGGCTCCAGGTGGGCTCACGCGGTGAGTCATGGTGGAGAACTTCTCTTGGGTGTTTGGGGGTTCGATTCCCGTGCCCAGGGTCTTAGTGCGCGCGGAATCTCCCGAATTTTCACTTTGTGTGGTTTTTAACCTCGGTCGGGGGGAGGAGAGGAGTGCGTGGGCGACTGTCTTCCTTTGTAGATGAACTTCGAGGTGAAGTTCACTTCCCCTGTTACTTACAAGCTGAAACTGGCCCAGACGTGCAGGGTAAGAAAGGACAAAGTTGTGTTCTTCAAAATCAGAGGGAAGTTGGTTTGTAAATAGTTAATGAATGTTAGTAATTATTACCATATTTTAGATTCAGTTTCGAAAAAAACCTATTGAGAACCAATTTTAGCAGCTAGGCGCTGCAGGAACTGGAGACACACTGACCTGTGTAGGAGGATGCCCTGCGAGTGTACATAAGTAAGTGTGTGGGGTGGGGTGGCGAAGAGAGGGTAGGAGGGCACCAGTCCACCTTGGGACTCAGTTTCTCTGTTTGAAAAAAAAAATTGTGTTGCTTTTGTAAAACCCTTTCCGGCTGTCGGATTCTTTGGGACTGGAATTTTGTTCTCCCAATTATCAAGCATTACTGGGGGAGGAACGTTCATGTATCATCTCATTTAATCCTAAAGATCTATTCAGTGAGGTGGTGATCTACCTGAAGGTCATGCAAAGGTTTGACTCAGGCATCTGACTCCAGACTTGTTTGCCCTAAAATTGTGGTTTCGACTGCCTCTAATCTTTCCATATACTTTCTCCTCCTCATGGCTGAGGCTAATGTGGTTTCAGCCTGCTGGACCCTTACAATAAACGAGGATAGCAGCCACTTCTTGACAGTCTTTTGTCCGTTCTCAGAGTGGAGAAGTGTTGCTCAGAAAGCTATTAGAGGTTGCAGCCTTGACAAAGGTAGTAGTATTAGAGCTGCAGGTCCTGGAGTGGCACACTCAGCTCGGGCATCACCTCCCTGGTGTGGTTTAAGAAAAAGTCATCAGGATCTTTGTATCTGGAAAGCTATATAAATACAGTCAGTGTGAGTAATGTTTACCGTGTTCTCCTGGAGGAAGAGCCTGAGTATGTGTATCTGGAGAGAAGAGAGAATGCACTCCCCTCCCCCCTTTTATAAAAAAATCATGTTAGGGGTTTAAAGTTAGGGATTGACAGTTACTTTGACTTTACTGTAGTTTCTGTTGTCAGAGTTTAACTGTCCATCAAATTAACTCTATAAAGTGAGGGTGGGAACCTGTTATGGTCTCCTGTGACTCAATTGTTTCTGTAGGATTCTGTTGGGCTGGAGGGCCATTTAGGATAAAAGGTGAGCCCCTATAGTTACTCAGCATCACAAAGGGCTAGGTGGAGTTGTTTAGAATAATCTTCTTTGTGTTCTGCTTCATTAATAGCCTGGCCCTTAGTTAGGAGTCAGGGAATCTAGAGTGAACAAACAGGATGTGGTCTTCACCGTCCTGGGGCAGGCTTGGGGGAGGAGGGGTATCTGTGACATTTTATGTAAATGGTCACCCCTGTGTGGTGCAGTGAATTAGTTTATAGTTTCTTTGCCCATCTTCTATCCCAAGCCACATGACCCTTCCCCTTTCTTGTTCCAAAACATGAAATTTAAGTGTAGTGTTGATTGTATTAATGAATACCTTTTAAGTTTCATTTCTAATTTTTTTTTTTTTAAGATTTTATTTATTTCTGTATTTGACAGAGAGCAGTGCTGAGCCGAAGGCAGACGCTTAACTGACTTAGCCACCCAGGCACCCCTCATTTCTAAGTTTTATTTTATTTTATTTATGTATTTATTTGATGGAGAGAGAGAGAGCGTGAGCAAGCACAAGCAGGGGGAGCAGCAGGCAGAGGGAGAGGGAGAAGCAGACTCCCACTGAGCAGGGAGCCCAACATGGGGCTCAGTCCCAGGACCCCGGGATCATGACCCAAGCTGAAGGCAGGTGCTTAACCGACCAAGCCACCCAGGCACCCCACATTTCTAATTTTTAAAAAATTAGATGAATGTAAGCTGTTATGAAGTCTTCCTTCCCACCCCCAGATTAGTTCATTTCTTTTAACTTATTTATAACCTTTGAATAATTTTTTTCTTTTTCCTGTGGTTTGTGGCTGTCATACAAAAAACTGATCCGGTGAAAGTGATATGATGAAAAGCGCAGCCCAGAGGAACTATAGATCAATCTAGACTTAGAATTTTAACTTTTGCAGAACATGCTTGCTCTGGATTTATTTTTTTTCCTGATGTAAATATGCCTATCCTTTACTTTTTTATTTTTTAGGAGAGATTGCCCTCGTGCGGGGGGTGGGGGGAGGAGTGGGGGAGGTGGGTGGAGTGAGGGGGCAGAGGGAGAGGGAGAGAGAGAATCCCAAGCAGGCTCCACACCCAGCGCAGATCCTGGATGCCACGGGCCTCATTTCATCACCCTGAGATCATGACCCGAGCTGAAATCAAGAGTCGGACGCTTAACCGACTGAGCCACCCAGGCGCCCCTGCCCATTCTTCACTCTTGAACTTCAAGTCTTGCAAGTCTTGTTTCTTGAAACATAACCTTATTATCGGACCCTTATTTTTGAGGTCGCGATGTCTCGAGAGACGGATGGGAAGCGTCAGCAGTCCCATGGCAGTGGCTCCTGTACCCAGTCCCAAGGTGGCTTCTCGCAGTCTCAAGGCACCTCCTCCCAGACACACAGCTCCTCCTCACACTCTCCAGTCACGTCCAGCTCCACCAGCACAGCACCCACATCCAGCCAGTCCTCTCACTCCAGCTCGGGGACACTGAGCTCCTTAGACACAGTGTCCACCCAGGAACTCTGTTCTATTCCTGAGGACCAGGAACCCGAGGAGCCTGTCGCTGCCCCTTGGGCTCGGTTATGGGCCCTTCAGGATGGATTCCCCAATCTTGGTAAGACCTTTTGTTACATTGTGTAAAATTATAATTGTTCACAAAAATAGTTAGAGGAAGCAGTTGTAGCAGAAAGCTCAAGACACTTCTGGAATGATTCCGGAGTTTGAAGGTGATGAAAGATGGAACAAAGGAAGCAGTTTTGGGGAGTTTACTGACTCTTACCTGCTGTGGATCCCCCTTCATTTATTCTTCCAACAAATATTAATTGGGCATCTGTAATGTTCTGTCCATGGGTGCATCTGAAGAGAGCAGTAGATCTTTCCCTAGAAAAGTGCTGATTCATGCAAACTTGCCAACAGTTAATGGACTAATCACAGAAACCACCACTTAACCCCTGCTGTAGCAGCTTCAGAACATCCATTTTACAGTTTGAGAATAGGGAAGGCTATTTGTTGACTGTTATTTATTATCTCAAAATAGCCAGCCTTGCAATTTAAATACATTCATCCTCTGTGACACATCCTGATTCCAGTAGTAAGGCTTCGCTATAGGTATGTTTGAAATAGCGTTTTGATATAAAAAAATGACTAATGTATTATATGTACCTTATCACTCACTCTTTATTTCATGTCCAACTTTGATGACCTGAAAAAGAAACTAAAAAGTGGAGAAATAATATAGGAATTTTCATAGGTACGACTTTAAATTTAGAAGTAAGTATGTGAGGGGCGCCTGGGTGGCTCAGTCGTTAAGCGTCTGCCTTCTGCTCAGGTCATGATCCTGGGGTCCTGGGATCGAGCCCCACATCCGGCTTCCTGCTTGGTGGGAAGCCTGCTTCTCCCTCTCCCACTCGCCCTGCTTGTGTTCCCGCTCTCACTATCTCTCTGTCTGTCAAATAAATAAATAAAATCTTAAAAAAAAAAATCTCTTAAAAAAAGAAGTATTTGAAGCTATTTTTTACTCACTTAAACCATCGTTTTAAGATAGGCTTAGGGCTTATATATGGTGAACGGGAAACAGATATGGTGAGAAAGGGTGAAGTGGGCTGCATCACTTTGAAAGTGGATAATGCTCAATAAATAGGATCTGTTATTATTAGTTACTGATTCACACCTGTTTTTTTCTAAATGTTTTATAGGTTTAGCCCTTACATTGATTTGTTTTGCGTTGCTTTTTGTATATGGTATGAGGTAGAGGTCCCAATTCATTCTTTTGCATGTGAATATCCTAGTTGAGCACTTTCTTGAAGAGACTTTTTTTTTTAGATTTTATTTATTTATTTGAGAGAGAGAATGAAATAGAGAGAG